GTACCCTTAAAATTGTTCAAAAATAGATTAATCTCAAAATATACATAAATTAATCCAAAAATATTTTAATAGTAAATAAAAAAAATAAGTATCAACTCAATGCCAAAGTCCTTATTGGTTAACCCCACATCAATCTAATTAAACGCAAAAATTAAATTGCATCACTTGCTAGAATTGCAAATTTTATGAATATGGTTCAACTATTTGTTGTCATTTCGATCCTTTTCCATGATAAATATAAATATAAATATATAAAAGGATGATGCGTTTGAATTTCAATTTTTATAAGAAATTAGAATTTTAACTTTGAAAATATAATTAAAAAATAATATTTTCAAAATTTAATTAGTAAATTTAATTTTCTATATATATTATATTAATTTTTAAATTAATATAACATATATCTATAATTATTTAATTAAAAAACTTATATTTTTAATAAATCTAGTAGTGATAAATTTTTTTAATTAAAAAACTAATTATATATATTTAATTAACTTAAGAATTAATATACATGATCTCCATATATACATAAAAAATCAAACTTAACAATTAATTTTTAAAAATATTTATTAAAAAATAATACTTTTTTATTATAAAAATTGAAGCTAATATACAATATTCAATCAATATATATTAACACTACTCTCTCAAATATATATATTTTTTTAACAGCATACATTATGGCAGTGGAGTTCGAACCCCAACCTAAGGGTTGGGAGATACACTTTTCAAGTAAATTTAAAGCCATCGGCCACTAGATTTCCAAGTGCACCCTCTCAAATAATTTTAAATCACTTACAGTGACAAAACCTTCATGAAAACTTTCATTTTAACCAAATTAGGCTTCTAATTAACAGATTCAATGCAGAAGCTTATCCGGTGGACGTGGTAGACCACGGTTGGTGAGGGTCGTTCGTACTCCACGGCGAGGTGGGCCAGCGTGTTTGCACCGGGCTTTTGACTCAGCTTGTTGCCTTTTGTGCCGCCTGCTTGACTCTTCTCCGGCACGTGAATCACCCCTTTTTTTTCTAATTAAATCCGTTCTTTCTTTATCTTTTTCGATAATTTAAATGGCATACACTTCCCCGTGTTACATCCTACTGTCCCACAATGCTTGTATTTTAGTATTTAATATTTTCTCTCATTATTTTTAATAATTTTGATTTAATTTTTTAA